ATCATGCTGAGTGAAAGAATTTATATTGGATCCTTCTTATCAGTTTATTGAGATGTTTCTGTGCTGATTTATGAGAATATCTTGACATTTATTTGTTAATCAACTTTTAGTTCAACTAACTATTAAGGGTATGTAAATATAATTCATAAAAATATCTTATTTATTCCAAGCATTATTGTCAGTGAAGTTATTTTATTATCATAATAAACTTGTAACCTACCAATTACTTCCTTTGGACATTTTGTCCTCTGGGGCAACAACAGAGCCAGAGGTGGAAGAAGATAAATTGTGTAATCAATGACATAGATCCTGAAAATAAGATTTGTCTATTATGAAATGATATGTTAGCCAATCGTTTTCAGCAGCAAGTGATGACTTGTGTCGCCTATTTCTAGATTCTCTGAAAGAATTTCAATAGGAAGAGTCATTATAAAAAAAAAAAAGAACCACGTAAATGGAAGATCATCAAATGCCAGAATGATCCTATGTATAATCCAGGAGAAAATTTACTTTTCACTACTGTCATCACTAATGTACCCTAAATCTTATTCTAAATTTACATCATAGCTAAAGCATAAAAGATAGTCATAATAACAAAAACCCAAACCACAGATAACCTAAGCTGATTATATGTTTGGATTGTATGAGCCAAAGAATGAAATCCAGAGTTTGCTTATACAAACATGGTCTACAGAGCTAAAGTAACAATCTTCACATCTTCTGAAGCCCTTTCAGTTTGGAACAACAGTGACTCAGGTATCCGATCACCTTCAAATTTCACAATGACCAAGGTCTCAAGCACCGGTGAACGAGCAAGGATAAGCTTTATAAACTCCCATTCAGTCCTCGTGCCATAGATGCCTCTGATCCTCACTTCTTTGAGTCGGTTGAAGGAGAACTCAAACAGATACTGTGATTTTAGATAATCTAACACAGGTTTGGAAAGATCATAGGAGCCTGAAACCTAAAGTGGTCAACAAAACAAAATGAAAAGAATAAACAATCTCCACAGCTATCAAATTGTTATATGTAAAATATATAAGAAGAAAAGCAGTTGACTTACAGAGAGATAAAGTTCCTCTAAATTTGGGGAGCTTCTAAGCATAGAGACGGTAACAAAGACTTCTTTGAAACAACAAAATCTCACTTCCTTTAGTTCAAGATATGAGAGATGGTTAAAAGCAAAAGTGCGCCTTTCTGTTATGTTTCCATTAGCTAGAAACTGGAAATAAGTGCATAAAAAAAATCATGTAAGTAGCTGTCAGATGAAATAACAAAGATTAAAACTGGAATATAGCACAAATTACCTCGATAAAGAAACTGGACAGAATTAGCCTCCTAACACTATCCAAACCACCCAAAATCCTCAGCAAATTACAAGCTCTACCCTGCTCCAAGTATCGGGCCATGATCCTCTCATGAAAAGGGACCATGCGAATATCAACACTATCTAAAAGCGGGCTATTTTCAAGACTGATATCTGCAAATTCAGAATCTATTTTCAAGTACTTCAAGGTTTGATTGTGGATTCTAAGAGAAGCTATATGGTCGATGTCCAGCAGCGTCAGTTTCTCAAGAACAGAACAACTATGAACTAAACTTTCTAGTGTTTCACTTGTGATTGAAACCTGGTTCAACTGAAGGCTTTTGAGACAAGCAAATCCCTCGAATCTTGAAGGAAGCTTGAAAATGCAGCCATAAAGGTCCAAGCAACTTAGTTGTGGACAAGAGAAGACCTGTGATGGCAGTTTGAAACGCTTAATAAAAATGAAGTCCTGAAGACTTAACTCCTCGATACCTTTCTCTGCCACAAACTCTATCCATTCACCCAACTGAGAATGTTCTGGGTAGCAGTAAGCAGCAAGCTTGAACTTCTTTATAGAGCCATTATGATTTGACTGAACATGACGAATGATTTTCATAATCTCTTCCCATCTGTCATCACAATGAGGAGAACTCGAGAAGCATTTATCATCAAGAACAAATTCTGAAATGCTAGTCCACTTATATCTCCACTTACTAGATAAGACACTAGTCCTTGCAGCATCTCTAAGCGGCAGATGCACGAGAATCGTGTTCAGTACATCCGTGGGCATATTACTTATCCTGTCCAAATTTGTTTGGTCTTCAATGTCATTTCCATTAGACTTTTCCAGCTTCCTCATCTTCTTGTTCATAAATTCTTCTGCTGCGATATATTTTTTAGATGTTATTCATTCAACATGGTAAAGCATCAGCTTTCAGAAAAAGAATGATTGCCTGGAAATGTAGGATAGCAACAGCCTAATTTTTAGATGTTATTCATTCAACATGGTAAAGCATCAGCTTTCAGAAAAAGAATGATTGCCTGGAAATGTAGGATAGCAACAGCCTATTCTGTTTATAACACAATTATATGGAAGTAAACCTTCCATGGATACATGTCGAGGGAAATAAAAAATAAAGATGTTAGATTAACAGTATTTTTAAAAACATCAATAGAACTTTCTTCTGGTAGGGCAAGACTATTTGTGTTTGCACGTAAATATGTGCGTCAGTTAGAGAGGAACTTCCATGAGATCCAATCAAAATTTTCCCTCATGAGAAAATCAAAATACTTCCAAATGATTCAAGATGCCTCAAAGAACCAATAGGTATTTCAACACTACGTTAGGTAACCAATTCAGTTTTAATCGGAACACATAACTCACAGAATTTCTGCCTATTCACCCAAATGCAAGACCCCACCATCGAAGCACTTCGAAATGATTCAGGATATATCAAACAATCAATGGGTCTTTCTAGACTAAGTTAGGTAATAATTTCAGTCTTGATATGAACACATAACTCACAACTTGCTGCCAACTTACCCAAATTCAAGCCCCCACACCTGTTCATTCAGTGAAAAGTATTTCCTG